CTGCTGAATATAGAACTATTAGCTCTTTACAAACATGCATCTCATTCCATAAAGGTGATGACAGTTTTGCACAGTTTGTATGCAACACTATAAAACATTTTGTCTGTATGAAAAGGAACTATGATGAACAAAGACGACTTAATCTGTCCTCATGTTTACTTGGGGTTTTTTTAAACAGGTATCAGGTGAAGAATGAAGGAAGATGGAGGAGAGAAAGAAGATGATGACCTGAAGCAGAAAGCAAGGATCAGCACATTTCACCTCAAATTGCTTCACCACCTGCCATCAAATAAAGGTTTGATGGAGTCTACTTTGACTGTTGGGAGGTTTAATGGAGAAGAACTGACACGTGGACCTCGTCTGTACTCTGGGGAAAATACTGAAAGCAACACACTGGTAGACAGACATGAACCACAAACAGCCTGATGGCTTTCTTTCTCTGATTCCTCAGTAGAGAAGAGAAGCAGTTAGATGATGATGAACCCTGACAGAAGTGAGGCGCATTCTGGGATACCGCAGGGCTTATCATCTGCATCCTGTTCCTAAACCGCTCGGTGACTCGGATTATAAACTGGCTGGAATCTTTTCTAGAAGCAGTGACTGGGATTAGGTTTTTGTATCCAAGATTTACGATTCCTCAGCAGAACACACTCTCACACACGCTCATATACACACGTACGCACACGTATATCCTCTTATTTTTATAACCTCTCATTTTCTATGCTGTCTGTTTCTATTTCTGGTATGTTATCCACATAAAAAATTGAGGAGACAGATTCTCCTGACATGTTACTGATACTAATAAACTATTTATATGAAAACAAAGTGGACATGGTGATTGTAAACGGCTTTTACAGAAACGGGTCGGGCATAAATTGCTTGTGCAACAGAAAGATTTAAGATTTCATTTAAAATAGAAAGAGGAACCAAACAGGCTTCAGTGTGTGAGAGAAAGAGAGATTATCCAGAGGATCATCACAAACACCTAAAACTTTGCTAAAGTAGCAAATAAAGATAAATGGACACATTGTGAATAACTAACAGGTGGTTTTTCACACTTATTACTCAGATGGAGGAAATGACAATAGTCTGGGTGAAGAGGAAAGTTAATGTTTTCTGAGGTGACCTCATCCCATGACTGGCAAACGCTGGACGACGTGGAGGAGGAGGTGACCTCATATCAAAACATGGCACATCCGTCAGCTACTCGCTTAATGTCCAGTCTCATTAGTGTTACAATGTGTGAAGTGAGGAGCTCTTTCATTCTGCACTTCTCTTTCCTTCTCACCAAAAGCTCACTCACATGCACATTTACTACAGCTGGAATCACACATGATGGTGCCCACTAGACAAAACGTCTTGACACAATCAACCTTTCTGTCATATTTTAAAGTAGATGAGTCTGAGACAACAAATAGAAGTGCAGTAACTAAAAATCCTACAGCGTGGCCTCGGTTAGCTTGTGTTAATGATTATAGGTAAGTGGTACTGTATACAAAGAGGGGGAAGGGGAACATTGGACTTTGCCTCACGTTCATCACTGGCATAATGATTAAAATACAGTTACAGAAAGAACATTAACCTCTAGAGTCCTGAGCTTTGGAAACCCAATCCATGTTTTAGCAGTATATGGTTTTGTTTGTTTTTGCTATGTTCTTGTGGCTCAGAACCGCTATGTCAATCTGAATGCAATCCTCAAAGCAAACTTTCCTCAGCACCAAGGGAAAATAAACATAATGTAAATTCACATTTTGTAGCTACAGAACTAAATTATTGTGTAATTCAAGTCACAACCTAGGAAGTACATGTATATGTAGGCGCACTTAAATAATCCATTCCTATGAATGTAACAAGGTGCTGCCATAAATGCAAAGAATCCATGTTTTAGCAGTATATTAAACCCCAAAATACTACTTTAAATTACCGCTTTGTAATTTTAACCACAAAATTCAAATGAGTTCATTCACGAGTCCAAGTGGACATTTATACCAAATTGTAAAAAACTCCCTCCCCAAAGAAAAAAATACATTTTTGTTGTAGAAAATTGTTGTTTTCTTTGTTTTTTTGTTTGTTTTTGCTATGTTCTTGTGAAAAATTGATACGTCCACTATTTTAGGCCTAAAGCCTCTTCAAACGAAACAATTCTAGGAAGCAACATCTGAGTCTTTACTTGAACTGACTGTGAGACGTGTCCACAATGAGAACGAAGACTCTGCGAACCTTGGCTTTAGACAAAGTCATGAGTGCAACAATATCTACTGTGTAAAGCGTCTACATGCCCAAACAACCAAGGAAACACATATGCCAACATAAACTTCAACTGCCAGATGATGTTTATGTTTATACCAGAACCATAACAGATTTTAGTTTCATAATGAGATTACATTTATTTATTTATTTAATAAATAAAATAAAGAAAAGCTTGTAGGGTTTTGTTTCTTTTGGTGCTGAAAAGCTTTTTTTCTTCCTTCGTCCAACCTCGAAGCCACGGAGCTGAACCTCTTTGCCACGAGGCCATTCCAACCCCTGCTGGCATCACACAAACCTGCTGTTTAGACTATTAGTGCTGTGGTTTCATGCAGCTTGCAGCCGCCTCAAACAGCTCTTTATGTTTCAGTTGTTAAACACTTTTTAGGACATGCCTACACAGCTGACTGCATTCACAGCACACAGAGAACATAATAAACCACAGCTAAGCCACCAAACCACTATAACCAACAAGGTGGAGAAGGAGCACACGCTCAGACAGTTGTATGACTTTGCTTTGCATAACTCCGTCGGCATCTTGCTCTTGAAGAACCTGGTGTAAACCATGTGTAGACACCAGCCAACACTAACCAGAGGGGATAGTTGGTGCAAACACATAAATGTTAAAATTGAGTGGTTCTGTGTGAGCTGCACAAAAACGACACTGTGTTTGAAGACCTAATAAAATTTGCTTTGGTTTCTATTTCCAGTCTGTCAGAGCTGCAGAAGTGAGGCGCCTTCTGTAGTTTCATCTGTGCAGCTGAATACCCAACAAATCTATAAAGCAGAAAGAATCGTATGGATATAAAGCTTTGAAAGCCAGCTGATAGTGCAAGAGGGAACAAAGAGAGAGAAGAGACAGATGGGGATAAGACAGGGTCTGGAAGGTGAGGAAATGAAAACGGATGGAGTACAGTGTGTGTGGAAGGTGAAAGTGCCTTTGTGTGTGAGACTGGATAAAAGTGGGCTTGTCTGTGAGAAACAGAGACAGACAATCTCTCTACAGCTCAGTTAAGCAGATTAATAACATGCTAGCTAAAATGTTGCAGGTTAGGTACAACCTGATACAAGCTGATGGAAGTCCAGCTCAGCCCCTTCAGCTACAGATATCAAACTATCAACCATTAAGAAGCTGAAGGTATTTCTGATTCTGGGTCAGCAGGTTTTCTAGAGCAACACCTCTAGGTCCTGATGCTGCTCTGGTCTCAGTGGACTCTCTTTTTAGTCTTGTTGGTTATGTAATATCAAAAATGGTTCCCAGTCACCATTATTATTAGGAGCTGCTTGTATGTACTGTGTGTTGTGTGGATCTGCTAGTGAAAAACATCGGAGACAAAGGAAAAGAAAGTCTCTCTACACCTGATTTGTTACCTTTACAGTCCTTTGCCAGCTTTGGATGTTGTGGTGTCCCCTTCCACTGCTGAGTTATTTTGCCACGGCCACGCCCCACATAGGTCCTGGTTTTTAAAGAACCACGGCCCCACATAGGTCCTGGTTTTTAAAGACTGCTTCAAATATAAGGAGAGCACTGAACAAGGGGCATCACTGAGGAGGAGACCTGACACAGAGTCTAGTCTAGGCTAGCATCTCATATTTGAGCATAAGGTCATTGCTGGCCCTGCATAACATTATTATCAACTCAGCGTCATCTCATCCTCCGACTGTCTGTCTTTACTGCAGTGATGTCAAACCCAGTCTTGATTAAAAGTAAACAGTCTTCTCCTCCCTGATCTCCTCCTTTCATTTCCATGTATCCCACAGAGCTGCTTTATGAAGACTCATCTTACCAGATAAACACATCCACCACCCAACATCAGCTTCATTCCCACCACTGGATCCAGCAGGGACGGAGAAAGCTGAGGTTTGGCATCGGTAGATGAAGGTTTGCTGCTTTGTGGTCAAGACTGGTGTTTTGGCACTGGATCCGGTGGAGAGGTTTGATTTATTTCCAGTGAGCAGCAATGTGAATGGGAAAAAGATAGAGGGGAAGGTAAGAGGTAGAAAAAAGCTCATTCTTAACTCATGTGTTGCTACCTGCTGTTCCATGATGCTAATTGTCAAACATCAGTATCCAGCTGTTGCCCACATGTTTATAATGAAGACCAACTTTCTCAAAGTCACTTCAGTTAACAGGGTTATTATAATGTCTTGTCACCCTCAAGGTTTCTTGCGTCTCTGTGCAGCAGTGTATGACAGTAACTGAGTGTAACAAATCCATTTCTACAAGTTGGTCAAAGCCATTTCCTCTGGTGTGTTCCTCCCCCTTCCTGTTTCCTCCTGTAGAGCCTTCAGGTAAACGAGCTGCCATCCGTGCCAGGCTCTTCTCAGAATACAGACACACACCTACAACAGGTTTTTTGTGTTTTGTCTCTTTGCAGCCTCATGTATTCCCTTAGCCTACATTTTAAATTAATTGTGTTTAAATAATGTTTATAGAGTTTTTGGCAACACTTTTTACTTGTTACTGTGACTATGACTTTGAAAACAAATGAATGTGATGCAATATTGTATAGCCTAGTGGTGCCTACAGGGCTAGTAAAAGTGTATTTGGCTTATTCGGCAGAGCTGTCAGTTCAGAGCTGTACCCAAGCAGCAAATGCACAGCTTAACAATCACTACATTAGATGCATTTTGTTTAGACATCCTAACAAATAGTGCAACTGATTACCTGTGGCTCAGTTTTCAAACTTTTAAACTTGCTGATGATCTGCTCTGTTGTTTTGGGGAACCTGGCATCTTCTCTCATCTTTTGACATAAATGTTTTTTGTCTTTATTCTCTCTGTGACTACAGCACAGGTGGGATAGTAGGTAACTGTAGCATTGGGTGTTTGGTCTCTGGCTCTACAGTCTCTAAGCCCCTAGTTTAAGTGAATCAATGGGCAGACAAGTGCCTCACACTGTATAAGTGACTGAGAGCCATTGTAAAGCATTTTGTCCTGGTCATGTTGAAAGAAAATCTACCTAAATGCTCTTAATACTGTGTCTCTGTCTCAGGTTTAAGTGTTTATTCATTTAATGTTTGATGGGAATGCTCAAGAATCGGGTGTCGAAGACGATTCCAGCACTGGCACCTTTTTTTTTTTATGTCAATGGATGTAATTAGAGATGTAGGTGACAGTAAACAGAGAGCAGGGCCCCAGAGAGCACACACACTGAATGGAGTTCAGTCGAGGGATAGAAAAAGAAAGTGAGTAAAATCTGCACCTGAAGACTCAAGTAAATATACAGTGCCTTGCGAAAGTATTCGGCCCCCTTGAACTTTGCGACCTTTTGCCACATTTCAGGCTTCAAACATAAAGATATAAAACTGTAATTTTTTGTGAAGAATCAACAACAAGTGGGACACAATCATGAAGTGGAATGAAATTTATTGGATATTTCAAACTTTTTTAACAAATAAAAAAACTGAAAAATTGGGCGTGCAAAATTATTCAGCCCCTTTACTTTCAGTGCAGCAAACGCTCTCCAGAAGTTCAGTGAGGATCTCTGAATGATCCAATGTTGACCTAAATGACAAAGGATGATAAATAGAATCCACCTGTGTGTAATCAAGTCTCCATATAAAT